AAATGTTCAAAATCAGCTTTTCACACCGATACATAAATGTAAATGTTCATTTATGTATGATATATTTCCTGTCTATTTTAAAATGTTATTTTATGTGAGAAAAATTTTGGTATGTATTTTCGATTACTGAAAGATTCAAAAATATATCGGAATATGGAAATGAAGAACAGTATCGGGACGGAAAAGAAAAATTCATTTATCTCATACATCCATATGATTTGCAACAGAAAAAAAAGTCATTCCTTTTTTAATATTTTTGTTTTGTTTCGTTCCGTTTTCTTGATATTTTTATTTAAGGGATAATTTTTTTCTCTCAGAATTTCCAGTTTGATTGTTGCGAAATTCTGTTTTAATGTTGCCTCTTTTTTGTATCCCTCAGGCAATACAATATTTGCGATGGTCATGTCATTTTTGGAAATGATTTTATTAATTTTCAATTTTTAAATCTTTTCTAATTTGCTTTCGTTTGCTTTTTTATGTTTACTCATTCAATTATTTACTATTGCGTATAAGTTTGATCTTTTCATTGTAATTGTTAATTTTTCCCGGTATTCATTTAAAATAACAAATATGCCTTCTGTGATTTCGCATTTGTTTTTACTATTTCATTTTTAACATAATTCTTTCCCATTTAGGATTGAATGAATTATACAATTGAGTGATATTTCAACAAATTCTACGCATTTGACTACTATTAGTTCAATTTTTTTTATTATTTTTTATTATTTTAAGCTCTGGAAATGAAACGAATTTTACGGAGCTAAATTTAAAAAACAAGTAAATTTTAACAAACTTGAGATTGAAATTAAATGAAACCATACGATAAGTACTTTGATATATTCAGTTATGAATGAAATACATTTATAAGTTGCCAACTCTTTACTACTTTCTTATTTCCGTTCTTTTTTTTTTTGAATATTTTCACTTATCAAAAGCATGACGTTTAACTTCCATCTATCAATTTGTTATTATTCCTCTTTTCATAAAAAGGTATGAATTCAAAAAATTATGCATGCTAGTTCCATTTAATATTTAATTCATCATTATTTTCCGGTGATGGACAGAATTTATTTTTGCCAGAAGAAACAGAAAAACTACTTTGCACTATGCCTAATTAATTGGTTAAAGATAAATTAACTTGGATTTTTAGGTATGAAAAAATAATTAATGTGAGGTGAAGTAAAGTGGATCAGATAGCTGTAATTAAAGAGCTACAATTACAAGTTATCAAACTTCTCCAACTCATGTTTACTGTTTAATGACAAATGAGAAAGCCGTAAAAAAGTGTATTTGGTGCTTAACACTGATAAATTGCAAGTATTTATCATAACCATTACTAATTCGATAATTTTCTCTCCTTTCAAAACTAATTATAATCACTGTATCATGTTTGTATATTTTATTTATCAAAGAATATAAATGATCTTATCAGTAACTTATCGGTTGGTGTAGTGTTAACATAGGTTGATTAATTTCACACGAATAATTTCATCCTCCTAAACTATTTTTACGTCTGATTTTTTGGAAAGTTCATGGAAAGTGCAGCACATATTTATGAATCTCACTGAATGCCAAATATATCAAAGTTGACGTAGAAAAGTTCTAATTTTTTTTCGTTCAACGTAAAACTGTCCTTATATTGTACTTCATTTTTATTATTTGCAGACTTGTACTCTCGTAAAAAGGGTGCAGTAAGTACACCCGGGGAAAAAACTATTATTATTGACATCCAGAAGTCATTCGGGAGTAAAATAAATTCAAAAGATTCAAAAGTACAATTTTTGCTCAGAATAGTGAATTTTAGAATAAAAGAAATTTGCAAATTTGCAAATTTGTTGAAAAAATTTTCAGATTTGCACTCACATAGATAACAGTAATTATTAATTGAAAAGCAGAATATGATGTAGATAAAAAATTGCAGGATTAGTATTTGGAATAATATATTTGGAGATGAGATTTCCGAGAGAAATTTGGATGGTTAAATAGGCAACTTTATAAATCAACTATTCACTTTTACTTCAATATTCAAAATTTTTAACTTTTGCTATGTGCAAGATAATAAAGTATTTTTATATTATATTGTATGCTTATTCCATAAAATATGACATAGTTTACAATATTGATTATAAATAATCAAAGGAAAACAAATGAGAAAAAATATATATTGTAAAATATTATACTGTTTAAAAAAAGAATATTTAAATAATAATTTTTCAGCAACAAATGAGTACACCAGATGATCCGGTAATTCATAGTCCGGGATCGATGCGTAACGGTCCAACAACAACACCGACGGCAGCAGCAATCATATCAAATTCCGGTGCAGAAATTTTATCGGGTGAAGGTGCAGTAACGACAGGTACGGGTACAAGTACTGGTGGTACTTTAGTTGATGGAGCAGGAGCAACAGTAACAGCGGCTAATACAGCAGCAGTGCGGTGTAACGGTGGTTCCGGTATTACAGTAACGGTAGCTCCGGGTTCATTGCCGGCAGTTGATGCAGGCAATCTTTTGCGATTATTGAAGGGTATATCAAATTACCGAACTTACTTCAGTTTTTTACTAGTATATCTTAACTTTATCAATTCTTCACAGCTTATTCTAATTAATACTATAATTTAATTAATATTCTTTAAATCATTTGCCTTTTTTCTCTGTCAAAACATTCGTTGATATTTTAAACAGAATGATCAAAGATTGGAGTAAATTTATCCAATTACTTTTTTGCTGATGCATTCTTATAACATCATAAACATTATCATCATTATCACGTTAATCATTACGAAATTAAAATGAGAATAATATTTGAAATACAGAATTCACGAAATTTTAATAAATTTCGCGTAACATTTTGATTTTGTTTTATAAACTATAAATTAATGAATCCTACAATTGTCGCATATAAACAGTGCCTTCTGTGTAATGTTTATAATATGACTTCATTCGGGTGGAATTTTTGCATTAGTTTTAGAAAGATGCTAATTTATTTGCAGGAGGACTGTCCGGTGTGGGTTTGAATATGATGGATGAATTAACAATGAATTCCGGTGCTGTACGTCAAAGTGCTTCATCTAGTGGGTGCTGTTCGCCGAATATAGAAGCTGGCGCTGATGTTCGTTTTAGTCACCTAAATAGTTGTAATCCGTAAAAATTTGTGAACTTTAAAATTGTTTCATAGAAAAATGCGAAGCGCTTACAATGTGACCGAGTAATTATATTTTAAACAGAAATTCAGAACCGCTGTATTTTGATATTATCGTTTGCTGATAGTTTTTTTTTCGTTAACTTAGTAATCTTTTCCATCAATTTTCATATAATGATTTGTTAATAAGAAAATCCCGTAGTTATCTAAAATTTGTTTGAAAATGTATAACCATCTCTTATTAATTTGTTTTGAAAAATTTGCAGGAAGCTCGACGTCGTCAAAAAACGTGTCGTGTATGTGGTGACCATGCAACGGGTTATAATTTTAATGTTATTACATGCGAATCGTGTAAAGCTTTCTTCAGAAGGAATGCCCTAAGACCTAAGGTTAAAGTTTATCTTTAGCTTTTTCATTTGCAAAGACACATTTTGAATTGTCAGATTCCTGGTATTCATAATTGATTCCACTGAAATTTATTTACAATTATCCTTAGCTATCATTTTCACCGTGTAGTGAGCTCACTGATGATTAAAATTAATTGTCCATTGTTTATTTTAGGAATTTAAATGTCCTTATTCGGATGACTGTGATATCAATTCGGTAAGCCGTCGATTCTGCCAGAAATGCCGGTTACGGAAATGTTTTGCTGTAATAGCTTACTATAATTAATTAATTGTCTCAAAAATATCTATCTGTAATGTAAATCATCGATAGAACAATATCATTTCGGTTCCGAAGCTATAATAATATTATAATACAAAAAGCATCAAATTATTTAGAGAAGAATAACATTGTGATAAATTTATATCAGGAATTATCATTCCCTGGATGATTTGAATTATTATAAAAATTATTTATGAAATCATTTTTTTTTCATTAATTTATTAATCAATGTAACAATATTATTTGCAGGTGGGTATGAAAAAAGAATGGATTTTAAATGAGGAACAATTAAGAAGGCGGAAAAATTCACGTTTGAATCATATGCAACAACAGCAAAATCGTAATACAAATGCTAATAATAGTGGTACAACCAATGCAACAGCAACCATTACAAATACATCCAAAAAATTATCAACGCCAATGAATATTACTACCTCGAATCAACTAAGCAATACTACTTCATCTTCGAGTACACCACGTATGTTTCATAATCATTGATTATTGTACTTATAGGATCTCATCATCCAATATTTTAGAGTACACTTAGTGTATGAACTTCAATTATTAGTAAGGTTTTTCTTAGATTTTAAGATTAGCATGTATTACAGATGAAACGATAAGTTAGCCTCTGCAGCATGATCTACAGTATGAACCATTTTCATATATATTGCTAGTAAATCTGTATGAAGAGAAGATAAATGACCAAAAACTTTCCAGATTATTTGGAATATTCGGAAATTATTTGTATAGCACATACCTGCAAGATTTTAACAATGCGACAGTAGCCATATATGATTAACATTGATATATTAAAATGTTTCTGTTATTCGTTTGAGTATTATTCCATAATTTTATAAAATATTTAGCGTAAGGATTATATTTTTCGAAATGACTTTTTTGCGTAGAATTAAATGGAATTAATTAAAAGATAATAAATCTTGAACTGTTAATGATATTAGAAAAACACATATTGGAGTATATTTTTAGCAAATATGTTCAGTGCAGCTCAGATAATCCATCGCAGGGAGTCAGATTCGACGCTTGTCAGTCCATCCGTTGTTCATACGGTTTGCATTATCGTTATTAGTCCATTAGTGAAAAATGTTCATATCATTTCAGTAAGAAAACTTTTGGATACGATTGCTTACAATGTTTTGAAATATGACAGTTTAATTCTATTTTAACTTTGATATCATCATATATTATAAATGAATTATAAAATTTCATTGCGATTTCTATATCATTATATGTTTTAAGTTTTTTTCTTGTTTATTGTTGGTAAATTTGTTTCAGATGCTAAGTCCTACTAATTCGACTGTTTCACCCTCAGTGCTATCCTCCTCATCACCTGATTCCCCAACACATAGTGCTCTCATCGGTCTACCTCAGCTCGATACCAGTAGCGATGCCGTATGTTGTTTTTCAATATTTCAATATTACCATTCATTTATGAAATTTCTATATCACCATGTATTACATTTCTTTTAAGCTTAAAAACTTTATTTGTTTACTTTCTAGTTTTTTTTCCATCCAATTATTAAAATCTTAAAAGATGAAGGTGGAAAAAAAACTTACAGATTATTTCTCACTTTATGTTTCTTTCATTTTTCTTTTTAATCATCACTTTCTGATTAATTTCATATTCTTTTTAAAAATCTATTGTTAGAAATATACTTTATTTTAAATTTAAAACACTTCATACATATTTAATTTATTGCCCAGAATCTTTGTTTTTGTTCATTTCTCCCTTTTAAACGATAGAAATTAAAGGGGAATTAAGCTTCTGAAAAATTCTTTCATGGAGAAAGTTTACAATGATTTCAGTACGAATCAAATTTGATGCGCTTACAGCGACAACAAGCAGCTGTAGTTGCGGGTGCAGCCTATGCAAATTTACGACGGAATGGATGTGGTTCGGGAATGTTACCACCGAATTCAGCATTATCTTCATTGGCCCGGGCCAGCGATTCTTTCTCACCAAAAGGTACAGGTTGTTAGCTTTTGTTCAAAAATTTTTCACTATGATTCGGCTTTAAAAATACGTTGAATCAGATGATCTTAAAAGGTATAATTGAAATCCAAATTTGAAAATAATGAAAGTTATTTCATAAACCAAGAATGACAGTAAAAGAAATTTAATATTTCCCTTTAGCTTATATTAGAGAATTTATATTTAAAAGTTAAAATTAAATTGTAATATTGAACAATATTAGGTCCAGAACCACATGTAACGATGTCAATGGAAGAATACCAAGCATTGGTAAAGGCAGCTAAGGCAGGTGGTGCATTAGTACCTCCAGTTCCATCATCGAGCTCAGATCCATGTTCCAGCATGTTGGATAATATCAAACGAAATGTTTATTCACCAGTTGAGCAGGATACAGCAATGAACATTGGAAACAACCATGGTATCATACGACCATCACTGATTCAATGCACTCGTTAGTTGCTCTTATCACTTTTCACATATTTCAAACAAATTATTAGGTAAACAAATATATTTACAATCTATGGTTTTGTGATTTTGACGAAGTAAGGATATAATTTTGACTTTAAAATATAATAAACTACAGTAGTGTACACAAATATAAAGTTTCATTCATTAAAAAGTATCAATCATCAGTAGTCTTTTACATCATAAGATTAGGATTTATGATTTCAGCCATCACAGATTACACGGAACTGAGCGCTGCAGCAGCTAATTTACCAAGTGCAACATATAAGTTAACGCCGGATGCGGAAAAAAAAGTAAAGTATATGCACGATACGATACACGATGAGCTGAATACTGATTCATCAAAATTGTGCACTGAACGTGAAACTTTAAAAGCTCGTTTTTACCGCTTCTTGAAGATTTTTTCTAGATCCTCTGCAAACCCCATACGAAAGCTGTATTCATTTTTACAAAAAATTCAACGACTTCTAAAGACCTTAACTCTTGGAATATATCATACCCGACATTCAGTATAATAAGCTAGTGGTAACATCCAGTCTATGCATTAAATATGGTCATTATTAGCCTTACTAGAAAACATTTAACTCATCCACTTATTAAACAGTTTATGATCCATTTTAGCAATGTTTCTTGTATAATTTTAAGCAAACAAATTATTTCGCCTACTTTAAAGTTATTTCAAAGTCATTTTCTTATTTAAATGCTAAATTGTATAGCTTTGTTTCCGTTTATTATTATCTAATCATGCTTTTTTCAGCAAGCAATTTATCATGAAGGTGACTCTCGACTTAATTATCAACTTAATTCAGCCGAACTTCGCGCACTGGATATCGTTAGTGTTTCTTTAATAGACTTCATAAGCTTTCCAACCAGTATAATTGTTATCTTTATACTAACTTTCAATCACTTTTCAATAATTATATCGGGACCAAAGAAAAACCAAAAAAATTGTTAGTGTTATGCGGGCAGAAGAATTTGATAAATAAAAAGCATATATGGTGACTTATTTTAAAGGTTCGAGATGCATTTGCATGCATGAATGAGCCAATCGAAGATTCGCGGAAGGCAGCATATTTGAAGAAAGTTACTCATGACCCCACCGATATCCTTAATATCATTGACATCACAATGCGAAGATTGGTTAAAATGGCAAAAAAACTACCGGCATTCAACGATTTATCGCAAGATGGAAAGTTTGCACTTTTGAAAGGTATGTTATTATTATTCTTATATGGCAATGATTAACTAATATGCAAAATTTTGGTTATACTGAAAATAATTTAAAATTTGCAAAGTTAAAATGTAAAAAGTATGAGTGATTGCAATGGAAAAAGCGAGAGGTTGAAAGGAAGAGATAGCGTTATGGACTTGATTGTAAATTACTGATAACATCTAAGTAATTGTAAACTCGAATCAAAATTGCAACTTTGACTTTGCAAAAAAAGGACTATTGCTTTTTCAACAAAATGTTGAAGTAGTGAGAAATAATAAGAAGTTTTGGTCTGATATAAATCACGCTTTACCAAAAACAAAAGAAGCTAATGCTTTCTTTTTCTTTTGCAGGCTTTGGCCAACAGTAAAATTTAGTAAGTTCTATTTTAACACCAAGTTTGGAGAAACAGTATGCAGATGGAGAATGTAGTAGCATTGCATTCATTCTTTATTGAATGTTTGATTAAGATTACAGTAAACTTAAATTTCAAACCTCCCGTACTGATCACATGATATTCGCTTTCCATTTCAGGAGGAATGGTAGAAATGTTGACGATGCGTGGTGTGACACGTTTTGATATGGATCAAAAATGTTGGCGGACACCAGTCGTTTCAGATGACAGTAAAATATCATTAGAAATGTTTGACCAGTTGAAGGAGGGACTTCGCGATCGCCAAAAAGAAGGATTTTTGAAGTATGTTTTTTCAGTCAGCATAATATTGCTTATACTGAAATATTATTGGGGCGGTTATTATTATTAATGCCAAAGAAAAAAAAAGGATACTAACGAAACAACTGATTATAACTTTTCTCTTAGCTATGTAATAAAAAAAAAAACATTTTGCTAACAGTTGTTGATATAAGTTATTTAGATTTTGTGAATCGTTGCATCCCGATCTTAGAAACAATGAGCTTGCTATTGATTTAATTGTTCTCATTTTGTTGTTTGATTCAAATCGCGATGCGCTTCTCGATCCAGCTGATCGTATTACCGTTGTCCGGCATTGTCAAGAGTATCAGGCTCTTTTGCATCGGTATGTAATATATGCATATATATTTTCCTGTACTCTATCATTTATGGCACTTGTATTTCATAGCCAATAACAGTAATATACTAACAGCAATTATCATTTAATTTCGAGATCTTTTACCGTTTGATACATCATCGCAGGGATGACTATAATTTATGATTGATGTCAAATCATTTCGAGGTGCTTACTTATTTAATTACCAATAATTCGATTCACACAGTCTTTAAAACTGGCTGAAAGGTTAAATCTATTTTGATAAGTTTGCTTGAAATTTCTGAAATACATGTCTGCAGTACTTCGATATTTAATAGAACGAAAAAATTAAATTAGTTTCAAAAAGAGAATTTGTAGCAATATTGACAGAACCATCTTTTGTAGCTAAAATCGAACACTGCATATCTCGAAATTAAAACAGTGAAATTATTCTAATCCTTGATGTAGTATTACATTTTCTTTAGTTATATGGAATCGATGTATGGTCATGAAGCGCGGGCACGTTACGAACGTCTTCCGGAATCGTTGAGGATCTTACGAACAATTAGTCAGAATGCAATTACCGTGTTCCTGGGACGTGTTGATCCCAATCAGTCCGAAGCACTTCCGAAAGAATTCTTCAAAACTACTTAGATATTAATGATACAGATGTGTGTTTGTATGGGTCATCCTCAAATACCTCATCCCAGTTCAAGGTTTCTTCTTTTAAATTGATGTATTGATTGATTTTCATGTTACTGTCACCGGTATTATAGGGGAATCTACGCGTTTTTCTTTTGCTTTATATCTCGAAACTTATTTAAGAATGGAGATTGATCTTGAAATCCTTGTATTTCTGCTGAACCTTTCCGAAAAAAATTTTTGATCTCTTCTTTAATCATTTCTTGGGAAGTTTATAAAATTTTTCATTTTGTCAAAATTGAAACAAAAATCCTTTTATTAATCACTTAACATTACTCATTAATGATATCAGAATCCTATCTTCTTCATTTTCCATGATCGATCAGTGTTACAATATATAAAACGTGTAAAACTTGGGTAAATAAATATTAGGGTGTAAATAAGGCACTGAAAAGCGGAGTTGTGATATATTTTGTTTTTATACTGTTGTATTATTTCCTCTCTCTCTCTCTCTCTCTCCTTTTATCTACTTCTTATCCATTCTCCCTTTCTCTTTTTCTGCCCTTCCTCATTACAACAGTATTATGATATAATTGTATTCATTCTTATTGTTATGAATAGTCATCATATTTAAAAATTATTGTCATTATTATCACTATTATTATTATCGTTATTAATATTGTTATTATTATTACTATTATCAAGTATCATTACTCTATTCATTGTTGACATTTGATATTCTTCTCGGCCATAGAGTACTATTATGTCTATACTTCTATTAGCAGCGACATTATCATTGTCACAACTTGATATTTGTATTTTTTTAAATTCTCTCTCTTTTTTCTTAACGAATAAAATTGTCTTCAGTGAACTGCTATGTCAAATTTGAAACTGATTAATTCACAGATTTAAATTTATATTATTCATCAGGAAAGTAACAGCTGATTCATTTCTTTTTCCTGACAACTACCACCTGAACTATACATTTCAATTGTATGCATAGCAGTTCAATGAAAATTTAACAATAGTTGTTGATTTTTACGAAATTAATCCTTCCTTTTATAGTATTAATTAGAATCATTACGATCTAAAGAAGTGCTCTCTGCTATACAGTTTACCGGTGATTTATATCAGATACAAGCGAACTGTTATCGAATTAATATTTTCCTTATTGAACCGGTGATTTGAAATTATTCAGGATGCATTTTTTGTTTATAATTTTTGAACTATTGCAGAATATTCACGGACTTTCAATGTCCGTTCTGGTGTTTCTTTGTTGGCTTACTGATTTTTAGACGAGAAGTAATGTTTTCATTTGCCATTTTGTATTTCCGGATACCTTCAGGACGAACTTGGCTTGCTAGTTATTTCTAGCCAAAAAATTTAGGCTTAAGCAATCAAAGATCATGACTATATGGAATGTAAACATTCAAACTGTTTTGGAAAATTTCTCAATCTATCTTTGGTAAATTTGAAATAAGTTTGTTTCGAAATATGAAAAGTATGGCAGATGAATTCGTTATCTATGATTTGTGAATATTTTCTCTCCTAAATTGTATAGTAACTATTGATGTCCTCAGTTAGTACCCCACTTAGTTTTTTTTTATTTATATTCTCTTTGTCCAATTTCCAAATTATCATTTTACGATGTTTTTTTTTGCTTCCTTTTTTCTGTTTTTTTTTTCTTTCAATTTGAACATACTGAAAATACACAGTGATTTTTACACTACCTCCTCTTTAATTTTTTTTTGTATTATTTCATCCATTGGCTTTTTTCTTTGCAATTTTTTTAAGGTATCTTTTTTTATTATAAACTCTTTGCATCATCGATCGCGGGTGATTTAACTTGCCGTTATCATTTGATATTATCATAATTATCGTTTAAAAGAGAGAAAAAAGGAAATTGAAATGAAAGCAAACTATCACTCGGTTATTTTCATTGCCAATATTCATTTCAGGTGATAACATAAAATGTCGAAATTTTGCGAATTTCGAAGTTTTCGAGATTTATAGTATTTTTAAAATGTTTTAGACGTTTTCTTCTTTTTTTTTAGAGAAAAAATTGATGAGCGGGAAACGTTTGATGAGGTAGAAAAGGAAATTAAATGTTTGTGTGCATATGTATGTGTCTGCGTTTGTCTACGTGTGTGTGTGTGTGTGTGTGTGTGTGTGTGTGTG